CATCCTAGCAACTGCTAGTGTTGCTGTCGCATCCGCTACTGAATCAGTACAAACAGCTACCTTTGTAGATAATTTGGCCAGAAATGTGTCTAATGAGCCTCTCTTACAGCAGGGTATAGACCAAAAGATTCTTGTACATCTGCAAGCCCTCAAGGCTGCCTTGGAATACGTAGGGGAGCGACAAGATGCACTGGCATTCTGTCAGTAATTAAACTGTGACTGGGAACATAAGCCTATCTGTGTCACTTCTCTACCATGGAACCAATCAATACATAGCTGGGATAAGGTGAAACAACACCTGTGGGGAACCTCTCATAACAATTTAACAGCAGACGTAAAGCAACTTAAAACTAAAATTCTAGGTTGGGCACATGGCTCACACCTGTAATCCTAGCACTTTGGGAGGCCAAGGTGGGCAGATCACAAGGTCAGAAGCTCAAGACCAGCCTGGCCAACACGGTGAAACCCCACCTCTACTAAAAATACAAAAATTAGCTGGGCATGGTGGCACGTGCCTGTAATCCCGCTACTCCGGAGGCTGAGGCAAGAGAATTGCTTGAACTGGGACCCAGGAGGCAGAGGTGGCAGTGAGCTGAGATCGCACCACTGCACTCTAGCCTAGGCTACAGAGTAACACTCCATCTCAAAAAAAAAAAAAAAAAAAACCACCTAAGATTCTAGAATCCCTAAATGCCATAGATCTATATGCGCAACAAACAGCCATATGGAAGGGTGTATGAGAACATCTCTCCTGGATTGGAATGGCGGGGGTCACTCCTTGATTGGAAAAGAATGTTGCTAATTATACTCATGTTTGTCTTATGTTATTTACTAATTCTAGGATGCAAAGCTAGAATATGAGCAGTGACTACCACACCTGAGAGACCTGTTACTGCACACATCTGTACTCTTCAATCAACAAAACCTTACACTAAACACAGAAAAGGGGGAGATGCAGGAATCTGGTCAGGGTGGTGGGAGAAATTACAAGAGAAAAATTATAGGAGAAACACAAACCTTCTTGGAAGGCTAGAAGGTTTAACAAAAGCTTCAAAACAGGATTTGGCTGAAGGTAGCCAGATTCTCTTATTAGTGCCTGAAAGCATAGGTTACATAATAAGGGGATGCAAAGAAACTGATCTAGATAAGCTAATTTACTTAGGCTGCAGAACCTGACCTTTAATCATCTACAGGACTGCTCTCTCCTGGGAGGGTGACCATGTTAATTATCCACAAATATGTTGACTCAAAGCCTCTATCATTAAATCTATACTGAATAAATGCCTGCAGTGCCAGGTGATCAGGGTGCTGATTCTTTACAGCACCTTCCTCGGGGTCTGTAAGCTGCTTGGTCCCCTAGCCCACTCTTTCACTAGATATCAGTGTAGGAGTGCATTTGTTCATCCAACATTTGGCCAACATCTGCGGGTTGAACCCAGCAAAGACCTAGAGTATCAAAATAATTTCTTGATTTTGATCAGCACTACCTATAAAAAAAAAGGACAAAAAAATGAAGCTCCTCTTTTCTCATTAACTCTGGAAGAATAATGTCATGTGAGCTTTAAGACAGGTACTGACTTTACCAACAATGTCATTATTAAAATGTCAGAAAACTAAGCCAGGCACAGTGGCTCACACCTGTAATCCCAGCACTTTAGGAGGCCAAGGTGGGTGGATCACAGGTCAGGAGTTCGAGATAAGCCTGACCAACATGGTGAAACCCTGTCTCTACTTAAAATACAAAAATCAGCCAAGTATGGTGGCACATGCCTGTAGTCCCAGCTACTCAGGAGGCTGAGGCAGGAGAATCTCTGGAACCCAGGAGGCAGAGGTTGCAGTGAGCCAAGATCGTGCCATTGCACTCCAGCCCGGGTGACAGTGTGAGACTCCATCTCAAAAAAAATTTTTAAATAAAAATAAATAAATAAATGTCAGAAAACTCTATGACTTTTTCCTATTACAACTTTAAACTTGTAAAGCTATTTTATGTTTCAATTCTATGAAACACTAAGATAAATCCTCTTTGAAATCAATGTAATTGCCAAAGAGTAGCAAGGATGATAACAAATAATTGCAATTTCATTAGATGAGACCAAATGCATATTACAAAGACACTTTCTGGTTGCCTGAGTGACTTGCACACAGGATTGATCGTACCTCAAAACTATCACAAAAAGAATGAAAGCAAATGGCAGGATACTCCTGTTTTCCTAACAACTTTAATTCCTTACTATCTATAGTGATTACTAAATAACAGAGTTTTGTGCTACTAATCTATGTACAACGTCAAAAATCATTAGCTGCTTTTTATTCCTAAATTAGGAATAAAATACTTGACACATTTGTTTAAATTCCAAAGAAATCATTTGGCATAGGAATGACCATACAGTATATGCCTTCTTTCAGCCTAGGCATATTTAACTTTTTGCATTGACTAATACAATACATTAAGCACATTTGCTTAGACTTCCACAGTTAAATGGACAATTCACTTTTTATAAGTGGAAAAATGATTACATCTTCTGGTATTCACTGAAATATCAAATCAATTACTTCTTTCAGTATTTGTGATGGCCATTTGTAATTCCTTTGTTAATTACCATGAATCTGCTTTCACTTAATGCTAAACGGCAATGCTAATACGAAAAGAAAATTAATGACAGACATACAAGCAAAAGTACCAAGTTGTTTCAGGGAAGGAATTTTAATACAACGCAAGAACTGGAATCTATGTCAAGCTAGAAACCATTTTCATTTATAAAGAACTAGAAACTAAGTCACAGGAACAAAAATGAAATCTTTACATGGGTTTCAGATTCATAATTCAAGATCTCATGAACTTCTGCTACTTCTTTTCAGAAAATGGTATTCTTGGCCGGGTACAGTGCCACATGCCTGTAATCTGAGCACTCTGGGAGGCTGAGGTGGGAGGATAGCTTGAGCTCAGGAGTTTGAGACCAGCCTGGGCAACATAGCAAAACCCCATCTCTATAAAAATGCAAAAAAAAAAAAAAAAAAAAATAGCAGGGCATGGTGACATGCCTGTAGCCCCAGCTACTCAAGAGGCTGAGGTGGGAGGATCACTTGAAGCTGGGAGGCTGAAGCTGCAGGGAGCCATGATTGTGTCATTTCACTCCAGCCTGGGTGACAGAGTAAGATCTTATCTCAAAAAAAATTGTTTTTATCTTGACCACATCAAAAAAAAACATACTGTCAGCTGGGTGCAGTGGTGCATGCCTATAATCCCAGTACTTTGGGAGGCTGAGGTGGGAAGATTGCTTGAGCCCAGGAGTTCAAAACCAGCCTGGGCAACAACCTGAAACCCTATCTCTAAAAAAAATACAGAAATTAGGCCGGGCGTGGTGGCTCAAGCCTGTAATCCCAGCACTTTGGGAGGCCGAGGCGGGTGGATCACGAGGTCAAGAGATCGAGACCATCCTGGTCAACATGGTGAAACCCCGTCTCTACTAAAAATACAAAAAATTAGCTGGGCATGGTGGCGCGCGCCTGTAATCCCAGCTACTCAGGAGGTTGAGGCAGGAGAATTGCCTGAACCCAGGAGGCGGAGGTTGCAGTGAGCTGAGATTGGGCCATTGCACTCCAGGCTGGGTAACCAGAGCGAAACTCCGTCTCAAAATAAATAAATAAATAAATAAATAAATAAATAAATAAATAAATAAAATACAGAAATTAGTCAGTCATGGTGGTACGTTCCTGTAGTCCCAGCTACTTGGGACGCTGAAGTGAGAGAATTGCTTGAGCCCAGGAGGTGGAGACTACAGTGTGCCAAGATCCCACAACTGTACTCCAGCCTGGGCAACAGAGCCAAACACTGTCTCAAAAAAAAAAAAAAAAAAAAAGACAGAGAAATAGAAAACAGACTGTCCTTTTAAGATTTTATCATGTACCCAGATAGACAGAAATCACATGGAAATGTATCTCAATTATGAAGCAGCACATCAGGATAGCTCATGATATATTTTAGCTTTGGTTACACAATTTATCATAAAGACGTGAGAAAATGTGATGAAAGAATCCCTTCGCAGTACTCTAATGAGAATGTGTTACATGTATAGAAGAAAAGGATACAACAGAGATACCTGTCTTTCTATCATTTTGACTGTAATGTAACAGCTCTGAAATAATACTCAGCCTAATAGTATACTTGTCCAGATCTGTTTCTTCCTGCCTCCCCTGCCTACTTTGAAAACATATAACAAAACACATCATCACATGAAGCCCTATGATCACAGTTCTTCCCAACCCCAATCTTTCTTATTTGCAACTTAGGTCTTTCTCTGTGATGTTACTCCTTGATATGTCACACACTTAAAAAATGATTATATACCCTTACCCTTCAAATCACCTCCAGGGAAGCTTCTCTTATGCTGACTTTACTTTGGTCACTATTGATTTCCTGAGAATACATTAACCAATATCAGTATCACTTTGCATTTGCTAACAATCATGTCAATTCAGCATCAGTATTTTGAAACTGGTACAGCCCTGATTCTAATCTTCTTCACCTATTATACTATGAGACAGGGAAGAGTAATGATTTTGCATTAGTTTCAGCATCCCAAGCCAAACTGACATGAATTTTCATAGCTCGTGGCATTTCTTCCAGGTTACGGAAGAAAGACATAGGAAAAAAACGTTTAGAACACTTGCCATATGTCATATCTGACATACTTGCATTACAATGCCAACTCCATTACCTACAAAAAATATACTAATATGCTTCTGTGGCCTAAATATCTTAAAACTATGAACCTCTTCACTTAATAGTCTCCACTAAGAATTTCCTGAGGGTCACATCCTGGTTACACATAGGAAACACAAAGAGGAATCCTACAAACACACTGCATAAATGTAATACATGACTGGCTTATTGCTATTTACCATTATGATTACTTACATAGATTACAGAAAGTTCTTGGGCAATTTCTGTATTTTTATTATGACCTTTTAAGATAGCATGTCTTGTTTCTCTTATTAACTTATCACTCACTGATCTATTACTATAGTTCCTTTTCATTAGAAATAAAATGCAGAGAACACTTGTAACACAAATCATCAGTCCTCTGTAGGTACATATACTAAAGAACATTTCCTCAGCATCCAGCTGCATCACCAATAATAGCTGCGAAACCATAAAATCCTAAGCATTGTATCTTAATGGCACCGTATAGTTAGCTGTACATCAGTGAACAAACAAAACATTCTTTAATGAACCTGCAATCCAAAGTGTTAAGTTACATTATATATTTTTATTTTCCATTAGTTTGTGTAACACTTCAATCTGTGAACAAATATATCTTAATCGGATAAATGCTGGCAGAAGTAATATCTCATTTAGAAATTGAGGTCAAATTCCTAAACAAGTAGTTAAAACTCTTAAAACACCTATAAAAATAAACACATCAGCTTAGATTACAAAGATTCCCAAAGATTTAAAAAACAAAAAACACTTAAAAGGCTAGACAAAAGAAAGCTGTAAACTAAAACAGTTAACAATCTATCCTCTATGACACAATATAATTTATCACTGTTGAAAGCCTCCCTAGAAACCCTTGGGAGACTAGAAAGAGACAGATCTGAACAAAACTGAACAGAATAAAAATTGGAATTGTATCACCTTTCTAAAAGCTCCCTTATTCTTTGTCACCTACAAGTTTATCTTTCACATTTGATTATTCAATTGCAGCTATATAAAATAAATATACAGCAGCTGGGCGCGGTGGCTTACGCCTATAATCCCAGCACTTTGGGAGACCAAGGCGGGTGGATCACGAGGTCAAGAGATCGAGACCATCCTGGTCAACATGGTGAAACCCTGTCTCTACTAAAAATACAAAAATTAGATGGGCATGGTGGCGCGCGCCTGTAGTCCCAGCTACTTGGGAGGCTGAGGCAGGAGAATTGCTTGAACCCAGGGGGCAGAGGTTGCGGTGAGCCGAGATCGTGCCACTGCATTCCAGCGTGGGTAACAAGAGCAAAACTCCGTCTCAAAAAAATAAATAAATAAAATAAAATATATAATTGCCAGCAGCAGACAGAATGGTCATGAGCACAAGTTCAAGAGTCCAAAAGCCAGTATAAATCTAGGCTCTGCCATTTAACAGATGTACTTAATTCTTTGTCTCAGCTGAAAACACCAGTAACAACAGTACCTACCTCCTGGGGTTATAGTGAAGACTGTATGTTGAGACAGATAAAGCCTGTGGAATAGGACCTGTTTGTTACTATAATAAAGTTACCAATTAAAAAAAAAGTTAGGTCCCTGATAATGCTTAGTTTCTATATTCATGAGTGCATACCACTGTTAACTATAACTTTTCACTACATTCTGCAAAATACCTTTGAAACTTTAGGTATTCACAAATTGTAACAGCCCAACTCCCCGACTCCATATTAATTTCAAGAGACATCAAACTCTCCAATATTTGTACTTGATAAACTGGGAAAGAGTGAAGTTCTACAACTTTAAATCACCCTGCCAAATTAAAGGCAAAGAAAATGACAGTCATCTCGAAGATGAACAGAGAAATGTCCAGTGCTACAAGATCTGATGAAAGCAACAAGATCTATCCACTGAGTCTAGAAACCTACTATGGATTTGTTTTGAAGTATGGTCAGTGGCTTCACCTCATTTATCACTTAAAATCTTAAAAGGAGGCCACATTTAATTTGGAATAACCTGAAGCTGAAAATGTTTCAGATACATTATTCACAGGAGCATCCTATTATATTACATTCTCTCACCAATAACTTTGAATCAAAAGACATCATTAATGAAAGTCAATCTGTATTTTACTCTTTATTAAAACATCCAGAAAAAATATCACTTTGTTTTTAAATGAATACATTTTAGAAATGTTAACACAATTTATAAAAGTTTTAACATCTTACAACTGCCTAAAAAGGTTTCATTTCCAATACCCTATTTACCTAAAATGCTAGGACATCTGAATTTTAAAAACCAACATTTTCCCGGCTGACCCAACTTAACAAGGGTTGGTTCTTTCAACACATAAGCAGAAAATAAAGTTGAAGTATACGTATCATCTTCAAACGACTACCATGAAACCAATATCGGGTTTTGCAATACCCAACTAAAGCATCAGAAGAGAGGGTCATCATACTTAGAAACTGACTACTGAAAAAGCAGAGGCTAAGTCCCTCAATTTTTTTCAGGAAACAGCATTCACACTCTGCTATCCACAATTTTCAAAATCTTCATTAAAGGCCCTGAAAATCCTGTTTGTTAAGACTGCCGGAATTCTGTGGTTCAGTCATCTTTCCTCAAAACTTAATTGTCCATCTTATCCATTTTCAATTTTATTAGGTCACCTTGAGATTCTCTCCTCTGAAAAGCATTTGCGGGCTTTAGTTATCAATATGTCTCTATTGGTAATTTCAAAATCAATAAATAAAGCTCATACACCTTGTAGCCCACTCCTATTTTATCGTGCTTGCTAAAATATACATATATTTCTCAGGGATCAAAAGGCTAACATGAGCTGCTTCCAAACTTCGGTGAATCTGCATTACATCCTTAGAACACCTTGAGATTCTTCTGTATTGTGATGCAGCTACACAGCAGGCGCATGATCACAAGGCTTTTCAACAGCCCCCAGATCCCTTACTGCTGCAAAACTTCTCATAAGCCTTCTATGTACCACACAGACTGTTAACAGTGCTGGGTTAAAATTGTTAAACTGCTTTACCTATATTTATTTACCAATCCTATCATCTCAGGGAATCCAAACCCTTTAAACTGCCTTCTAAAACACAGCTGGAGTGCTTTCGTATTGCTTTGAGTACGATCTGCAGCGGGATAAAAACTTGAGTTCTGAGATTCATCCCTTGACCCAAATTGCAGTTGCCAGGATATGCGGTAGTAATGCAGTGGTTTCTTTGAGACTCTACGGATGTATTTTACCTACAAATAGCCAATCTCTACTGAATCCCTTTTACTCTTCGAGATTTCCGCGGTAACAATTTCAACAGCGAAGTATTTTTAGCAAAGAAAAAACGAGCTATACTAATTTGGCCTTTATTTTTTACTCAATAGAGCTTGCCATCATAAGGGCATTTTCCCATACTAACATTTGCAACTGGAGAAAGAAAAAGCAAGCTTTTGGCACTACTGACCATTATCATTACGGAGGGCCCATTACCATTACGGAAGGCCCATTATCATTGCGCTTCTTACAAATCTTTCGAGATAGGATTTGAGGTTCAGCTTACATCGGACCAGCCCAGTAACTTACCGTTTTCCAAGCTCAATTAACAGTCTAATAACAACAGCAACACTTACGCCCCGGGAAATCTCAATGTTTCACTAACCAATAAGGCGTCTGATAACGAAGGCAGCCAGTGAAACATTGAGATTCTTGTTGTTGTTCTTCCTCTCAGTGAAGGAAGAAGAGAGAAGGACCCCAAAAGGGTCCGTGAGAGCAAAATCCCGGGATTCGGAAGCCCTGGCCTCAGGAACACTGGCCCCGAAACCCTTCCAGCCCAACCCAACCACCCCTCTTGTCCCCTGGGAGCCAGCCCTTCGCTGGCACAGGCCGGGCAGGCCCCGAGGGCACAGACCCCCACACAACGCCCAGGCCGGGGTTCCGAAATCCGACGCCAACAGGTGGAAACCCCAAGCCCCGCGGCCTGAGTTTCAGAGATAAGAGAATGAGGGTGAGAGGAGATGCGGCCTCCCTCAAGCTGGGAGGCCCCTTGATAAAGCCGAGAGGGGAGAAGAGCGAGCCGGTTCGCAAGTTGGAGCAAAGCCTGGAAGGAAAGAAGGCTGCGAGCCGGAGATGAAGGAGATCTGGGCTCGACCAGCGCCTTCCCCGCCTCCTCGGCGACGCCCGAGTTTACCGGGAAGTGTCGGTCCTCGTTGAAGCGGGAGAAGCGGTCCGCTATTTTGCCGCCTTCACTCCTCTCAGGACGACGCTCTCCGGTTCGCTCCTTCCCTCCGGCGACACCCGCCCCTCCCCAGTTCCCCGCCTCCTCCCACGCCCACCGGGCGCGCGCAGCTGAGGGAGGGTGAGAGAATGCGCGTCCTGACGGGAGCCCCGCGGCGCAGGCGCCGGCCAGCCTTGGAGGCAGACCCATCCCTCGAGCCCCAGCTCCATGCGCCACCCGGAGCGACCCCAGTGGGCGCGCGTGCGCACTCGCACCCGAGAGCCGCGAGTGCTTCCGGAGGGAAAGGTCAGAGGGGCCACCGTGGGGATGGATCTGGATGGTTTGCTGTCGCTCACTTCCGGGTATCTTTCGTCACTGTTGCTTCCCTTGTGCTCAGAAGTCCGTCATCTTTATTAAATAGCAGCATAATGTTGAGCTGAAATCGCGACTTTAGAGCCAGATTACTTAACTTCGAATCTCGTTCACCCTGAGGATTCAACGGTGAACGAGACAGGAAGGATCTCCTCTCAGGGGGATTTCATTCCGGTGGAAGTCATAACTCGTAAAATAATTAAATATTTTGAAATGTCAACAAATGCCACAAAAAAGTAAAACTGGCCGCAGTGTTAAAAGGGACAGGCTCTGAAAGCACTTTTGACCTGAGGCACAGCATTGGGGCCTAGGGAACATTAGACCCAAAACAAGGAGCTTGATATTGAGCCATCCTTTGAGAGAAGAATTTCTCAAGGGACCAAAGTTGATCCAAATCGACTAAAGCTCTCTGGGCTTCAGTTTCCTTCTTTATACAATAAGGAAATTGGATTCCGTAATCTCTGCTGCCCCTACCTAATGCTGACTGTGAGAGTCAAGAATCGGATTTTTCCCCCAGCGCTCCAGCACTCCTAGCCAAGGTACAGAAAACACATAGAAGAGTGGCAGAACTTCCTTACTTTTGAAAAGAGTAGTTGACAGAAATCACACGATGGAAAAATGTCTGTTACCCTGCCCTGAAAGAGTCAAATGGAATGTAATTTTTTGGAGGAAGGGTGTGTATTTTCTATTTGTTACCCTTTGCCCCACCCATGCTTCAGCCTATGCTTCCATCTAAGGGGAGGCAGAGCACACAGAATTCAAACGTTGTAAAGAGACTTTAGGACAATGTGGCAGATTGAATCCCAGGGATACACACCACATTGACCTCCCTCTCAAAAGCCCACAGAAAAGACAGTAAAGGAATAAAAAGCGCATCAGTTCACATGGACAAAGAGACCTGGAGAAGGGACGATGGCAGACAACAGATGTCAACATTTGGGAGGCCGGCGAGCATAGAGAAATGGAAATGACTTTAACAGAGTGGAGAAAAAGAAGTCATGGAGTAGGAGAAGACAGGAAAGAAGTTGGTGAATGCTGAAGTGCACCAGCAAGGCTCAGGAAGTGGAAGCACCTGGTGCCACTGAAGACTCGACATCTCTTTTCCCACCCAGGTAGCAAACTGGAGGTTTTCCCTCTGGAAAGGCTGAGCCAGAGAGACTGGACCTTAACATACCTGGCATAGGTGAGAAGGAGCAACCATGCTGACAATGGGAGGATATGGTAAAGCCTCCATTCTGGTCAGAGAGTGTGACTTCTCCAACAAGACCACAGGAGCACTCTCTAGAAAACTGACTAGCTTAGGGAAGAGAAACCTTCATGTACCAACAATGGGAGTGAGGCTAGGGAGCTGTCTTCCTACATAAACATCGTGTTCCTGCCCAAATACCCCGCAGAGAAGTTCACCATTCAGGAAGCCCCATCCACTCAGCATTTTAGTGCCTTGTTATTTATGGATAACCAAAGATTACCAGACATTTGAAGGGAACCTGTAACAGGAAAGATAGAAACACCCCCAGCCTGGGCATCGTAGTAAGACCCCGTCTCTACAAAAGAATTTTAAAATTAGCTAGGTGTGATGTTATGCACCTGTGGTCCCAGCAACTTGGGAGGATGAGGCAAGAGGATTGCTTGAACCCAGGAATTGGAGGCTGCAGTGAGCTATGATGACAGCAACAGCACCCCTCCCCAAAAAAGGAATTCAGAGATGCCAGAGATAATGAAAGTAACAGAAGAAACCATCAAAAGAATTATCAATATCCACAGAAACATTAGATCACATCAGGGTACAAGGGAACACATCAGGAAATAAGAGACTACATCAGGCCAGGCATGGTGGCGCATACCTGGAATTCCAGCATTTTGGGAGGCCAAGGTGGGTGGATCACCTGAAGTCAGGAGTTCCAGACCAGCCCGGCCAACATGGTGAAACCCCATCTCTACTAACAATACACACATTAAGGCTGGGCATGGTGGCTCACGTCTGTAATCCCAGCACTTTGGGAGGCCAAGGTGAGTGGATCATTTGAGGTCAGGAGTTCTAGATCAGCTTGGCCAACATGGTGAAACCCCATCTCTACTAAAAATAGAAAAATTAGCTGGGCATGTTGGTGCGTGCCTGCAGTCCCAGCTACTAAAGAGGCTGAGGCAGAAGAACCGCTTGAACCTGGGAGGCGGAGGTTGCAGTGAACCGATATCACAACACTGCACTCCAGCCTGGGTGACAAGAGTAACACTACATCTCCAAAAAAAAATACATTAGCCGGGTAGGGTGGCGTGGTCCTGTAGTCCCAGCTACTCAGGAAATCACCCAGAAAACAGAGTAAAAAGACACCCTGGCCTAAACCCCCTCTACTTTCTCCTGAATTATTGCTGTAGCTACTAAGTGTTCTGCTTCTACCCTGGCAGCATAAGTGCTACAAAGGAGCTCTGGTGATCTTGTTGAAGGTCAGTCAGATCACATTTGTTGTCCCCTGATTCAACGCTCAGTGGCTCTCCATGTCACTCACAGTGTAAAGTTCACCTCTCACCACCTCACCTCTCAGACCTCATCTTCCTCTCTGCACCCATTTCCCTTCTCTCTGGACATACTGACCTCCTGGCTGTACCTTGATCCCATCAGGCCTGTTCCTGCCTCAGGCTGCCCCACCTATGGGCTTATGTATTCGCTGTTCTTTCTGCTTATCATTCTTTCTCATATATTTCCATGGCTTGCTCCGTCATCTTCTAGTCTTTACTCAAAAAATACATTCTTTTTTTCTTTTTATTTGAGATGGAGTTTCGCTCTTGTTGCCCAGGCTGGAGTGCAGTGGCGTGATCTTGGCTCACTGCAACCTCCACCTCCCGGATTCAAACAATTCTCCTGCCTCAGCCTCCCAAGTAGCTGGGATTACAGGCAAGCACCATTATGCCCAGCTAATTTTTATACTTTTAGTAGAGATGGGGTTTTGCCATCTTGGCCAGGCTGGTTTCAAACTCCTTACCTTAGTTGATCCACCCGCCTCAGCCTCCCAAAGGGCTGAGATTACAGGTGTAAGCCATCATACTCTACCATAAAACTACTTTCTCATTAAGATCTTCCCCGATTGGCCAGGCACGATGGCTTACACCTGTAATCCCCGCACTGTGGGGGGCCAAGGTGGACAGATCATGAGGTCAAGAGATCAAGACCATCCTGGCCAAGATGGTAAAACCCTGTCTCTACTAAAAATACAAAAATTAGCTGGGCGTGGTGGTGCTCACCTGTAGTCCCAGCTACTTGGGAGGCTGAGGCAGGAGAATCACTTGAACCTGGAAGGCAGAGGTTGCAGTGAGCCAAGATTGCACCACTGCAGTTCGGTCTGGCAACAGAGCAAGACTCCATCTCAAAAAACAAAGAAAAAACAAAATTCCCTGATCACCTTATTTAAAACAGCACTGTGTTCTGAACTCCCTAATTTTAGCCTCTTTCTCTAGTTATATTTTTCTCCATTAGAAAGTACTGATCACTGTCTGGCCAGGTGTGGTGGCTCACGCCTGTAATCCCAGCACTTTGGGAGGCCCAGGCGGGTGGATCACCTGCGATAGGGAATTTAAGACCAGCCTGACCAACAAGGAGAAATTATGTCTCTACTAAAAATACAAAATCAGCCGGACATGGTGGCACAACCCTGTGATCCCAGCTACTTGGTAGGCTGAGGCAGGAGAATCGCCTGAACCCAAGAGGCGGAGGTAGTGGTGAGCCAAAATCGAGCCAGTGCACTCCAGCCTGGGCAATGAGAACAAAAACTCCATCAAAAAGAAGAAAGAGAGAGAGAGAGGAGAAAGAGGAGAGAGAGAGAGAGAGAGAAAGGAAGGAAAGAAAGGAAGCAAGGGAGGGAGGGTGGGAAAGAAGAATGAAAGAAAGAGGAAAGAAAGAAAGGAGGAAAGATAGATCAGTTTCTAGTATGTAATATAAACTCTATGAGGGCAGAGTTTTTTTTTAGTTTCGTTTCTGTCTTCCCAGCACCTAGACTAATGACTGGCACATAGCAGGCACTAAATATTCACTGAATGGATGAGGTGGAAAACAGGAAAGAATGAATAAGAACAGGTCAGCATCAATTCAATATCTGAATAGTAGGACTTGCTAACAAGGGAAAATGGAAGAAAACTACATTAAAAAGCTGGGTATGGTGGAGCATGCCTGTATCCCAGATACTGGGGAGACTGAGGCAGGAGAATAGCTTGAGCCCAGGAGTTTAAGACTAGTGTGCTATGATCATGCCTGTGAATAGCCACTACACTCCCGTCTGGGCAACATGGTGAATCCCTATCCCTTAAAAACTTAAAAAATTTGCTGCCAGGCACAGCCTTGTGAAATTTCAGGGTATGTGGGCCAAAGAGAGCTTCCTAAAGGTTTCCAGAGAGAAAAAGTAGGTCACATATGAAGGATTGCAAATTGGAATGATGTTGAACTTCACCAGAGAAGACTGGGCAGTAATACACCAACCTAGAAATCTATACC